CAGCGTGGCGCGCTGTCCTCCGGCCAGATGACGCACAGCCAGGAGGAGTTCGGCATCCACTTGGCGCAGGCCCTCCGCTCCCTGCACAGCCGCCACCAGCACGTCAAGACCTGGGCGGCGCTCTTCATAGGTGAGCGGGCGGCAGGGCTCAGGACCCTCCGGCCGGCCCTGCCCCCGCGCCCTGCCCCTCGGCTGCCAGGCCGCCGCAACGGAGGGCAGAGAGGAGGGGTGGGGGCGAGGGGCCCCGACGGGCAGGAAAGGGTCTGAGCCCCCACCCGCCAGCAAGCCCCCGCCACCGGCCGGCGCCTCCATCTCTCACACAGGTCACACCCTCTGCTACCAGCCCCAGGCCGTGTGCCAGATGGTGAACAGTGCAGACACAAACCTGCTGTTCTCCAGTAAGCAACCCCACGTCCCCCCACCTTGAGTGTGAGATGGGGGCTCACACCCACTCACGCCACCTGAGGCTCCCAAGGAAGAGGTGGGGTTGGGGAGGGCAGCACCCCAGGCCTGGGAGGCAGAGGAGGTGGAGTCTGGTGACGTCCCGCTGCTGCCCCCACCCCTGCTGGAAGGAGGGGCCCAGACCCCAGGCTCCCTCCACCAGGACGGGGCTGTGGGCAGACGGGACCCCGGGTCACCTCTGACTTGTGTCTCCTCCCCTGGAGCTTTTGAAGATCTCAAAAAAGACCCAGAGCCCGGCATCCGGGAATTTGCCACCAGACAGTTCTCCTTCCTTCAGAAGGTGGCAGCCAGACCGCAGTGACCTCCAGCCATCCTCCCTCACCCTCCTCTTCCTCTCCTGTGCCCCCCCCGAATCGGTCAGCCCCGCCCTGTCCACACAGAGCTGGGTTGCATAACAGTTTTCCATTTGAAAGAAAGATCTAGATTCAACAAAGAAGCGTCACACCTGTCTGCTCCCTGCCCACCACCTCATGGCCCCAGAAGACGAGGCAAGCCCAGGGGACACTGGCAGGCCTAGGGGACAGGGGGCAGACCAGGTCTCCCAGAGACAAACTGTGAAGTCTGGGCAGCGTCCCGCAAATGACAGCTGTGGAGGTCAGGGGGACTCCACCTGACCAGAGCCCATGCCATGGCCCGCTGGCGTCCTGAGCGCCGAGAAGGCCCTCCAAGGGCAGCCACAGGGGGATGGAGCCATTCACCAGGACTCCCCCCACACCTGAGTCTTCAGTCTGTCTCTTGCCTGGAGCTCTAGAGTCACCAAGGGGCTGGCAATAGGGAAACGGTCCCTTGGCGGGCCTCCCTCCAGGGGACTCCAGGTCTCCCTCCACCCTGACCCCTATCCTCGTGGGCACCTGAGGTTCACAGCAGACCCAGCCTGGGTGGGAGCCAGACCTTCCCGGCGGGGCCCGCATGAGCTATGTGGCCTGAGGCAACGGTCTCTGTCCGCTCTGCCTCAGCTACTCCATCTGGAAAATGGGTAGTAAGGCCTTCCTCCTGAGAGCCCTCCCAGGGCTGAGTCCAGAGGAGGTCCCTCCCTGGCAGGGACCCCCACCTCCCAGGCAGCCACCTGGAGGCCCGCCTGACCTTCAGCCAGGTCCTCCCTTTTCAGCCTTGGTTTCCCCACATGTGAAATGGGCAGGTGGGTCTTTCCCTTGCCTGCTGAAGTTCCTCCTAGGGCCTCACCCCCAGGCTGGCCCTCTCAGGACCCCCACCAGCTGGCCCCTCACCAGCCTTATCCGTCACGTGCCCACACTGACCCCTCCACACCTTTGCTCAGGAAGCTCTTTCCACCTGCAGCACCTTCCCCACTCTCTCCCACCTGGGGGCCTCCACACTGCCCCCTCCTCTGAGGACGAGCCCCACCAGAGGGAGCCCCCACCCCAACCCGTCCTCAGCCCCGGAGCCTGAGCCACCCCTCCCTTGCACCAGACACACTCCAGGCTTTCACCCACCCCACCCCCCAGAGTCTGTAAGCCCCTTGGGGCAGGGAGGCAGCTGAACGGGGCTGGCCCAGGGGAGGCCCGCCACTTGGATGGTGGGTTGAAAAAATACAGCAACCTTCATGGAGCACGAATTTGCTTCTCAGATGGGTTTCATTTGGTCGAGCTGGGGGCCCGCTCTCCCCCTGGGAGCCCAGAGAGGGCCAGGATCTGCAGGCCCCTTCTTATCCATCTGTCCATCTCTGAATAGAGCCACCCGAGGACTTTGGGGGGTGCCTTTTCCCGACTCCCATCCTGAGCACTGACCTCCATGGTACTCCAACCCCCTGGCTGGGGCATGGGGGGGTGTGCTCCTTCAGAACCAAGGAGTGGGTTAACAGGGTCCCCTTGGTCCAGCCTGGTGGCTGTGGTCCCTAAAAGGACCCCTAAAAGGGGGGCATCATCCTCTGGCCCCTGCTGGGTGGTGGGCAGGCAGGCCTCCTCCACACTCTGCTCTGGGAAGTCTGGTTCAGTGAAAGCTTGGAGCTGGTGGGCCTGGACCCAGTGGGTTCCTGGAGCCGACAGTGACGTGACAGATGAGCCTTGCATCTGGAATCGCAGAGGGGCCCAACTCCTACCTAGCAGGGCAGCTGGGCTCTATGGAGCCGGGCACATGGAGGGCACCCCATTAATGGTACCAGTGGTAACAGCTCACGGCCCGGCCCGCTGCAGCAGCCCGGGAGACAGAGGGACGGGCCTGTGTCCCCGTTGGCCAACCCCCAGGGCCCCGAGGAAGGGGCGGCTCGCACAGGCGCCACCCCCCCGGGGCCGTATGTGCAAGTACTAGCAGAATGGGCCCAGCCAAGGGCACCTGCCTCCAAGCACACGACTCTGTGCCGAGGCCCGGCCCCTGCCCTTCCTGGGCACGCCTCCTCCCCTGGGAAAAATAGAAAGGGTGACAACCAGGTGGCTAGGGGAGCCCTTCCCCACAGACCTTTCCCAGAGTGTGTGTAGGTGCAGGCAGAGGGAGGGAGGCTCAGGCCATGGAGATGCAGGTGGGAGGTGGGGATGCCAGGCCCGGAGCTGTGACTCCTAAGACAGGCACTGTGTCCCAGGGACGGGGAGGAATGCCAGGGTGGTGTCCACCGCTGGGTCACAGTGCCTGGGGGCAGGGGCTCTGGCACAGACCACCCCCAGCCTTTCCACATGCCAGCCAGGCCAGCCCTGGGCCCCCTCCTCCCGGCTGTGCCCCCGCACAGGGAAGGGCCGGCCCCCACCCTGGGAGACCTGCATGCGGAGGCACGTGAGCACGGCCGTGCATGCCCCCAGGCAGGCCTGGCGGCCCTCTTGCGCCCTCAGACTCACTCACCCATAGGCCCTGGGGTCACCCTCTGGCCTCCCCTCCCTTCCCTGGGCCAGCGGGATGGTGTGTCCCTCCATCGGAGCCGAGCCGGCCACCGCCATCTGCACCCTCCTCTGGGCCTCTAAGGCTGAAATGAGGACACCTGGTGGCGGCAGGACTGAGCGGCCACCCCACTAGACACAAGGCCCTAAAGAATTCCCAAGGGAGCCCCAGCCTGTCCTGCAGAGGGGCAACACTGGTGACCCGGCCTTGCCTTCTGATGCCCCAGTCCCCCCCCCAAAAAATAGCAAGTCACCTGGGCCTGCGCAGGTCACATGGGAGTGGTGCCAGCTCTGCTACATCAGGGATGTCCCCTGCCCCTAATCCAGGGAGTGCGGGGACCCAGCATGGACGCCAGGGGGAGCCCCAGTGCAGCCGGCCAGACGGCCTCCCTGGTCTCCACCCAGTCTCCTAAGCCGGGGGCCCCCCCCGCCCCCCGTCCACCCCACCCGGCCCTGCACCCCGCTCTCCAGACACACACAGCCACGGGGTCCTGTTTTATTGCCTTCGAGTGTCCAGGACATCTGACGGTCTCCAGACCCAATAATTGAAAGTGCCAAGAACAGGTCAGGGCGAGAGGCCGTGGAGGAAGGGTCAGGCCCAGTGGCTAAAAAATACACCTGCTCCCTGACAAATGAGCCTGAGAGGAAAGCTGCCCGGGGGACCCTGTGGGTGGGCAGGGGCAAGAGGGCCCCAACTAAGCCTCAGAGAGACAGGGCTGTGGGGACGAAGGGAAGCGCGGGTCCCCAGAGCGGCGGACTCGGGCACACGGAGACACACGGGGAGAAACAGAGGAAGGAGCCGGCACAGGGCACGCAGGGCGAGCTGGACCCGGTGGACAGGGGTGCCGAGGGTCTGGGAGAGAAGGCGAGCCGGCGGCAGCGGGGCACGGGGTCCCTTCTCGGAGCCCCTGGGCTACATGACGCAGCACTTGGTCTTGTGCGCGTGCGGCTCCTTGAACCGCAGTCTCTGCTTGGGCCGGTACTTCTCCAGGTAGGTGAGCTGCTTGCTGTTGATGGCTCCACGCCGCTTCCTGGGGAGACGGGACAGGGGTGGGGTCAGGCAGGACGGTGCAGGACCCGCCCAGCCTATTCCCCTGTGGGCATCACCCTTCCCCTACCTGCTGTCATGGCCGCTGGTCCTCAATTCCCCTTGCTATCACCTCCTCCAGGTACCCCCCACAGCGCTCACCCTCCCAAGGCCCCCTGGTTTACCCGGGTGCCACCCCACCCCCAGGCCACGGGCTCCTACGGGGCCACAGGGTAGAGCCTGGGCATCTCTGCAGCCCGGGAGGGAGGGAGGAAGGGAGGTCCTCAGGTGACAGGTGACAGGATGCCCTTCAGGAGGTCATCCGTCCCCACCCACCCAGGACCTCAGGCGTAGCCTGGACTTGCTCTGGCCAATGAAGTGAGAGTAGAAGGGACACGTGTCTGCCAGGCAAGGCTTCCAGAGGGCCTCCAGCCCCGAGACTGGCAACACTGGAGGAGGGCTGCCCACCAAGGGCCCCGGGGTCCCCGAGCGGAGCCCCCACTTCACCGCGTCCAAGGGTCATCCAAGTGAGGGGCCAGTCTGAGCTGTGCTCGCTGCTGGGGTCTGGACCTGCCTGGCCCTGCAGCCTGTGCTCACCCCAGCCACGGAGCTGGGAGCCCCTCCTCACCCACACCTCCCGGCACCAGGAGCCACACACAGGCACCAGTCCTCACCCGGGCAGACGGCCTGGCTACGGGGCCCGCATGAGTGTGTCGGTACCCCAGCGTGAGGCTGCACGGGACTGGGGACATCTCTGAGGTCACCCTGTGGCCAGGGGTCAGGAGTGCCCACTGGCAAGACGCTGGGCCCGATGGGGGAGGTGCAGAATAAGGGCCCCCTAAACCCAGACCCTCAAGCGCGCACCAACTGCCCTCCGCCCCCACCCTCGCCGGCCACTCACTGTCGGATGAACTGGATGGCATCTTCATACTTCATCCCGCTCTCGATGAGAGCCAGTGCCACGAGGACCGGGGCCCTGGGGGCAGACGCAGGGCTGGGTCACCAAGCCTCGGCACCCCTGCCCCTTCCCCTGATGGGTCGTCACTGAAGGCACAGGGTGACGCCTTCACCCTCACACCCACCAAAAAGCTGCCCAGGCTCCCCCAGTGCAGCCCCCTCCCCCACGGAGGGCACAGGTGGCAGCTGAACCCGACCACCTGCTGCGTGGCCCCAAGTGGGCCAGGCACCCTATCTGTGCCTCAGGCTCCCCGGCTACAAGCGCGCTGGAGAGTCAGAGGGAGGGCAGCTGCTGGGGGTGTGTCTGGCCATCAACCTCGCTTGCCAGTGTCTGGCCTGAAACTGGGGGGGCACTGCCCGGGTCACTCGGTCACACCTGGCTGCAGGGGGTCTTTGTGTCTGGGGGGCGGGCTGGCAGCTCCTCCCAGCTTGAGTACAGGGGCCACGTTGCATCCCAGCAACAGGGAGTGGGGTCACACTTGGGGAAGGACTGCTTCCCTGTGGTCACGTGACAGGGGCCCAGCACCCACGTGCAAGAGCGTGGCGGACCACAGGATCCTGAGGTCCGGCCAGCCCCGGCCCCCCAGCTCACCGTCCCAGGCCGGCCACACAGTGAACGGCCACACAGCTGCCAGGGTCATCACAGAACTTGGCCTTCAGCAGGCTCAGCCAGTCCTCCACCACTTTCCCAGGTGGGGGCGCCCCGTCGTCGAACGGCCAGTCCTGTGGAGGGCAGAAGCCCGTGAGACTGGGGGGCCCGGGCCGGTCAGCCCCCGGCCGGGACAAGGTCGGCATTCTGAGAAGCACACAGAGGGATCCCACGAGGGTGAGGGACAGCAGGCCCCGGAGGGCAGAGAGCTGGCCAGGCATGCGGTCCCCACTTCGAGGCTCCTCATCCTCTTCTGCTTACATCCGCTGTCCCCTTCTCCAGGAAGCCCTCCAGAACACCCCGCCCTCTTCTTTCCTGAGCACAGTGAGCCCTACGTCCCCTCCCGGCCAGCCCGCGCTGTGACTCCAGGGTCACAGTCTGACCCTTACCAACCTGAGTGTTTCTGGGTCAGCAGGCCCAAGGAGTCTGGGCTGCAAGCATGGCCGACATGTGCCTCTTCCTGTCCCCAGCCCCCAGCCCAGCCGCACAAAGCAGGCCCAGCCCGGTTACCGACCGGGAAGGAGTGAAGGAAGGCACTAGGGTGAGCCCCATTGTTCTGAGCAGTGGATTCCAGACAGTTACAGCTGGGACCTCTCCAGACACTCGGGGATTCATTGGGTTTTGAAAACTTGGCTGTGCCGCCCACCTCCCCAAGCACTCTGGAAGAGGCGAGGCGAGCCTGCAGGGTAAGCCCAGCCCCGGTCACTGCCCCGAGGACCGAGATGCTAAGTCCTGGTGAAGGAGACTCAGGCAGGGCAGAGGGGAACTACTCCCAGCCAGAGTCCACACGGGCCCAGCAAGGCTGACAGGGAGGCAGGTCCCCGAGTGAAACCTAGTAACTAAGGGATCTTCTGGGTGGGGCCACTGGACTCCCGCTGCCCCCACCCCCACTCCGAGCCTTGGGCAGCCCCCTGCTAGGGGAGGTGCCACAGCCATGTGGCCCGTCCCACAGGCAGGTGGCAGCAGGGCCACCCCATCCTTTGCCTGCTCTCGGGTCCCCAGGGCCAGGGGACC